AAAAAAAATCAAATGATTATAGGACTAGGAAGACTTCCCTATACCTCATTAAATTTACATTTGAAAGTCTTTAATATTTATACATATTTGCAAGCAGTATATTTATTGATGTATAAACACTGTAACAGTGGCTCACTCTTCACAATACCTTACGCAGTCATGAGCTTCAGATGCTCCAGTGCACTGGATGCTGCTAAGTTGTAAGCTTCGTCCACTGTACTCGCAACCCCAAACAAGACAGACTCAGGGCTTGTGGATATCGACAGAAGAGTTGCATGCCGATCTGAAGAGAGCAGGAAACTATATGAGCAAAATATGAAGTTTAAAAATCTTGTTTAAGATGTTAATGGAAAAACACATCTTTTTTATCATCTATTTCATGGTGACAGTCTTTTAAATTTCAGATAGGAAGTAACAGGATAATGGACAAAATTACATAGTGAGGAACTTTGCTAAGTGCAAAATTAAAATCATGGATGAGGTGGTCAAGGCATGAAACATACATGGAGGAAACAAGAAATACATATATACATTTTATTAGGAAATATCAAGGTAAAAGACTTGGAAAAATTGATTTTAAATATTTGAATTGAGCTGGACTGGATCAGGATAAGATCATGTTGCAGTCTTTTGTAAATATGGCAATGAACTTACGATCATTTTTCATTACAATACATTACTACTACTGAGTTAAAAAGTATATTTAACATTATAAATTCAGAACCAAATTAAAATAAAAACTGTCTGTGCTGCTCCTTTGTGGTGTGTGCTATGTACAGGAAATCACATTCTTTACCATATAATACTAATTAGGTTATTCAGCTGCATTTAGTGTCTAGGATACTAAATATCTCTATACAAAGAAAACATTTTTAAGCCATTCCCACTTACATCAAAACAATACCCAGTTCAGTAACATTCTTCTCTATGTGAACAGAAGATCAAACACAACAGTTGATACAATGTGGAAAACATGCATTTTTTATAGCTGTAATGTAATTTATCTCTCTAACCAAACGTTGCGGATAATTTGTTAGCACTCCAGTTTTGTATCTGGAAGGCCCTGGAATAAAATTTCAGTCTGGAGACCAGCTGTCCTGACAGGTTTTATGGTTTTACTCAGTCCCTCCAAATAAATGCCATAAGTGCCTTAAAATAGGCCATGACCACTTTCTTCCACATCACTTCTAATTCACTATTTCCCTATCATTCTCTCATTTGATGTTGTATAGTTTGCCTAATGACAGAATTATTAAGTAAACCATAAATAAAACAAATATTTCTCTCAGTTGGTTCCTTTTATTTTGCTCTTTGTATCATGCATTTTCAGCTAGTAAGTGCATTATATTTACTTCTACAATGTGCCTGGGTATGTAAATTATATATTGTTAACGTTCCTGTATGTTACTTCTTCATATTGTAAACACATTTCTCCATTATAAGCAGAGAAGTAATGGATGTTACATGAAGCAAAAATGTGCTATGACAAGTTGGTGATCCTCGATGGTTTTATCCAATTAACCTTTACTAGCCCTAATTCTCATGAACACTCAGGACTTTAAATCCTTATAGTGTCTAAATGACTGTAACACTCCTAATTCATTTTGTGTGAAAAGGGCTCATTTGAAGACATGTCCAACAGATTTAGAAATGCCAACATAAATGGCATAAATATATAAAATATATATGTATATCACAAATATACAGCAAATGAAATTAAATTTGTTTGTTAAATAGCATTATGTGATAAAGAAATGTTAAATATATTTGCATATGCAGCATAATAGGTACCAAAAACAATTAGTAAATTAGGAATTTTTACTGACCGCGTATTTGATTTATATAAGCATTTCACAACACTACACTTCTGTATTGAACAGAGTATAGTTATACACTATGCAACTACAAAGAATTCATATAGTTGTATGTTTTGATGAATGTGCACATTCATAAAAAAATATTCCTGTTTAACATTACTGCACTAGCTGCATAAAATGTCGCTTGTAAAAATAGAGTTGCTATTATAGCCCATACTCATTACACCAGATTTCTATATTCATTAGTTAAGCAAGAGAAAATTAAAATTACATAAGGTTAGACTCACTGGATGTGGTGGCCTCAACACCATTTATTTCAGCATCCAGGTTTAGTTCCTCCAAAACCATCTTGAGAACACCAATTGGGTCCTCAGCTGCTTCCTTTGTCAGATTTTCTTCGCCTTCCTATTCCCAATACACACACTATTTTACAAAGCTACACAAAGGCTAGAAATTGAGTGACAAAGCCAATATTTTGGAAATTGTTGTAAAGGCGACTTGAAAATGGTTACTGCCAATTTTGTTCCTCACATAATATGTGTCTTGAAGTGAACAACAGTAACAAAAGTGGGTGGCATGGGCAAAAAGCAAATTACGACATTGTCCTCACTGACAATTCTTTGCACACTTCCAATATTTATATCACACAGGTTTTAATACAGCAATTCTGCTGGTGTATGTATGCTATATATTTGAAGATGTTTTGCTGACCTTTAGATTTTTGAAGGCAAGCTGGCAGGAATAGAAGTGCAGAGAAAAGTACATACTCATGTCTTGTCACCAAAACATAAGGCAAGTTTACAATACAAAAATACCTATAACTCCTTCAAAGTCCAAATATATATAGAAATGAGAGTTACAAATACCACTTTTATTCACAATAAAATGAAGTTCAGATTATACTTGAAGAATGCTTACCATCATTCAGTTCAGAATCTTTTGTCTTACCATCTCCTACTTAAGAATCTAAGGATTAAACATTTTGAATACAACAACTGTACTTGTTGCTTTTATGGATACAACACTTGTTTATCACCAATGGGAAGAACACAGATAAAGGATGTTTGAAAAGAATGCTAAGAATATTTGGACCAAACAGAGAGAAGTTAAAGGAGGTAGATAAAAATTACACAAGATTCATACTTTGTGCTCTGTGTCAAATATTACGGTGATAAAATTGGCAGGGCATGAAGCATGTATGGGGAGAGATGAGAAATATATACAGTTTTACTCAGAAATCCAGAAGGAAATAAATAACTCAGGAGACCTGGGTGCAGAAAGAAGGATAATATTTTAACAAGCCTTAAATAGAATGTGGGCTGGAGAAAATGGCTGTCATGGTAGGGTGAACTGGTAGCTCCTGGGAACATGGTAATTAACATTCAGTTCCATGAAAACTAAATTTCTTGGTAAGATTAACCTCTGTCAGCTTATGAAGCTATGAGCTATACTACCTCCAACCCTTCTCCAAGATTGGTAGGACTAGAATGTGTACTTCTTTTTGAAATTTCTTGTTCTTTCCTAATTTCTCACTGATATGCACAAAGGCCCAGAACCCTTATAATAAAATTGTTTATTCAAAAACTATGAACTGAACAAGAGTATACATGCATAGACAAGTAACAGGATGAATCACCGTGCAGCACCACGGACCTGTGCTGGTTCTTTGCCCCAGTTTCTAATCCAGAAAGAAAACCCCAATTTCGTCCAAAATAAATAGAAGTGATGTGAAGCATGTGACCACTGGGCAAGGAGACTGACTCCACTGGTCCCCGTATTACCTACAAAAACAATAGAAGACATGGCACACTCTGATGGAAAATAATGAAGGTTGGGAACAGGTTGGCACAAAGGACAGTAGGAAAGGTACAGAGTAACAGGGAAGGAAACATCACATCACTGAAAAATGGAGGTGCATGAATTACACAAAGAAACATAGTAACAGTAGAACTAGGAGTATTAACAATATTTAACATCATAAGACCCTGTTTTTGTATATATGAAGGTCATGTATGTGTGTTCTTTTGTGCAATTAACTTACCCTAAGCCTGTTAAGTAGTACACTGTCGAGACTTTTCAACATAGTATGGTACCCAGAGATCTTCTGGCCAATAGGTTTCTTATGCGTGTTAACTGCAGAAATTCCCATTTCCTTGTACATATTGTACTTTGATACTGCAATCTCAACATTTACATCTCTGTCCTCTTCCTACAAACAACACAGATCCCAAAGGTTATAATCAAATTTCTGTTACTGCTTCTTGTACTGAGGTTCTACACTTTTGCTGCATCACATTACTCAACAGCTACCATTCTAACAAAATGAATTAAAAGTTCATTAGCATGTCGGAGGTTTAACCTCACTTACTTCATTTTGTACATGTTATAATAGAACATGCCAAGCACAACCCTAAACATACTGTCAAGAGAAAACAGAAATGCAACCAATATGCAGAAAGCAGTACAGAGTAAAATCACATCAATTCAATATTAGACAATTCAACATACTACATCATTTGAAGTACCTGGCAAAGAAGACATGACTCTAGACTCCTCTACTCTTGATGTATATGACTGTGTGTGTGTGTGTGTG